TGGCTGCGGTGAGTAGGACTGAGTGACTTGACCATGGTGAGTTGGCTATGGTGAGTTGGACATGGCGAGTTGGACTCAGTGAGTTGACCACAGTGAGTTGGCTGCAGTGAGTAGGACTGAGTGAGTTGACCATGGTGAGTTGGCTATGGTGAGTTGGACATGACGTGTTGGACTCAGTGAGTTGACCACAGTGAGAGGGCTGCGGTGAGATGGACACAGTGAGTTTGCTATGGCGAGTTGGCTCCAGTGAATTGGCCATGGTGAGATGCTTGCGGCGAGTTGGACGCGTTGAGTTGGACATGGTGAGCTGGCTATGGCAAGATGGCTGTGGCGAATTGGCTGCGGTGAGTTGGACACGGCGAGTTGGACTCAGTGAGTTCACCACAGTGAGTTGGCTGCAGTGAGTTGGTTGCGGTGAGTTGGACGCAGTGAGTTGGCTGTGGCGAGTTCGTTGCAGTGAGTTGGATGCGGTGAGTTGTCCTAGACCTTCCAGGGAGTGAGACATGCTACGGCTGATCCGATTATCCTTCCGGCAGAGAATGGAGAGTGGGCGATCAAACACCGGCCGGCCAAGAAAGTTGTGAACGCCGAGCACTTCACCCCGAGCGACATCGGCTACCAGCAAATTGTCTTCTTCTTGATCATCCAGAGGAAGCCTCTGTTCTACGTGGTCAACATCATCATCCCCTGCGTGCTCATTTCCTCCGTTGCCCTGCTGGTCTACTTCCTGCCGGCCAAAGGTCAGCGCCCTGGTGGCCTGGTGGGAGAAGTCCTTAGAATCATCAAACGGGAGGGAAACCTGGAGATCCTCCAGTCGAGCCCCAGGGATCCTAATGCAGCAGTAGAGGAAAAGTTAAAAAAAATATTATTGGAACAGAGACAGCAGGAACTGGGGTTCAGTTGCAGAGAGAGATCAGATTGGAAAGGATCCCTGGTCCAACTTCCCAAATATTTTGACTCAGAGTAACAGGGAACCAGAATATTGGGACAGTATAATCCTTTTCCAATCCTTTTCCTTTCCCTTTCCTTTCCTTTTTCCTTTCTCCTTTCCTTCCTTTCCTTTCCTTCCCTTTCTCCTTCCCTTTTCTTTTTCCTTTCTCCCTTCTCCTTCCTCCTCTCTTCTTCCGCCTTTCTGTGTTCACCTTCCCTCTTTCCCTCTTCCCTTCTTTCTCACAAGAACAAACGCTTTCTGTTATCCCTGCAGCCGGTGGGCAGAAGTGCACAGTCTCCATCCAGGTCCTCTTAGCCCAGACCGTCTTCCTTTTCCTGATTGCAAAAAAGGTGCCGGAAACATCTCAGGCGGTGCCTCTCATTGGAAAGTGAGCGCTTGGCAAAATGGGCAAAATTTGGATACTGGGGCAGGCAGTGAACAAGAGAGAGAAGGGGGGGGGGGGGGGGGAGAGAGAAGGAGGGAGGGAGGGAGAGGGGGAGAGAGAGAGAGAGAAAAGATAGATAGGTAGATGATTGATAGATGACAGATAGAAAGGATAGATAGATGATAGATAGATAGATAGATAGATAGATAGATAGATAGATAGATGATAGATAGATAGATAGATAGATAGATGATGAGAGAGATGGATATATAGAGACAGACAGAGAGAGATGGATAGATAGATGAGAGAGATATGGATAGATGGATAGATGATAGATAGAGATAGAGAAAGGATAGTGTAGATAGGTAGATGATTGGTAGAAAGATGATAGATAGATGATAGATAGAAAGGATAGATAGATGAGAGATTGAGAGATAATAATAGAGATATGGATGGGTGGATGGATGGATATACAGATAAACAGATAAACAGTAAGATAAACAGTGTCATTCTATTTCCGTTAAAAGGTACTTAACTTTCCTTCTGGGGGTGACCATTGCTATTGTGGTGAACGCTGTGATTGTCCTCAACGTTTCTCTGCGCACGCCCAATACTCATTCGATGTCCGAGCGAATCCGGCAGGTGAGTCCAAAGGAGGCTCGGCTTTCCACCTACATGGGATGAGTGTTGGGCCTTCTCCGTGTTCCCAGGCTTTCGTTTTATTTTGGGTACCGTTAAGTCAAGCTTGGCTGGGCGGGCGGGGGGTTTGATTTATTTACATTCATTGATCTAATTTAGAGGTCCCCTGATTTGAAATGACAGCCTACACCAGGGATGTCCAAACTTGGCAACTGGGAGGGCGGAAAACGGGCCTTCCAAAACTACCGGAAGTCCAGAAACAAGTATCAGCTTTGGAAGCCATATTGAGATCTGATGCTCCCACGCTGCCAACGATTGAGCCCGGGAAAGTGGAAGGGGGTGGAATTCATTGGAGTATATCTAGTAAGACAAAATAAGATTCTTTTGCTGTTTCAAGGTCACGTAGTGTTGCACGTAAGTCTTACTTTGGGATGGATGGTGATTGGGCCATGTGATGGGGGACGGATTTATAGTCTTTAACTTTTGCAAGGAATCCCGAAACTTTCAGATTCGGGATTCCACAGATGTACCAGTTACTCTCCCAGTAAAAGGAACTTTTCAGAAATGTCTTGTCTCGGAGTTATTGGTTGGAATGGAGGTTTGCTGGAACGCTGACAACGACCCTGTTTCCGGTTTCTGGAGAACCTCCAGAGTCTGGGGGAGGCTGTTTTCACCCTCCCAGAGGCCCGAAGGAAGCCTCCGGACTCTGGGGGGAGATGAAAAGCATCCCTTCCTAAAGTTCTGGGAGGCCACGCCCACCATGGCCACGGCCACCCAGCAACCGGGCAGCGAACCGGTTGCTGGGATTTTTTTAATCCCTCCCCTGGTCGTAAGTCACTGTTTTTACTTTGAACGGTCAGTAAACAAGCTCTTATAAGTCGAGGAGTGCCCATGTTCCGTCTCTTCCCTGCTCCCCCTCCCCATGAACAAATGGAAAGTTTTTCCTGGCGTTCCTCTCTGCTCCCGCTTCCCAACGTGTCTCGATGCCTGGCTCTGTAGCTCTTCCTGCACCTGGTGCCCCATTACCTGGGCATGCACATGAGGCGCATCTCGCTCCCCGCTGGGAATCGGCTGGCGCGGCGACGGAGCTCCCTGGGGCTGATGGCCAAAGCCGAGGAATACATGCTGTGGAAAGCCCGGAGCGAGCTCCTCTTCGAGAGGCAGAAGGAACGGGACGGCTTGATGAAGATCCTCCTGGCCAAGATTGGTGAGCTTCTGGCAGGACGGAGGGCAGCCTGGCTGGGGGGAATGGGCAACGGGGTGGGAAGGTCGGAATAGATCTGATCCAAAGAATGGAAAGGAATGGAATGGAATAGAATAGAATAGAATAGAATAGAATAGAATAGAATAGAATAGA